CTCCTGTCTGAGCATCAAATCTCTTGGTGGCAATGGCATCAATTTCATCTATGAAGATGATGGCAGGTGCATTCTCCTTGGCCAGGCGGAACACGTCCCGGACCATTCGGGGGCCCTCACCCAGGTACTTCTGTACAAACTCTGAGCCCACCACACGGATAAATGCCGCTGAGGGCAGAATGACAAGGGTTAGAATGGGGACCATCCTCCTTTGGGCCTTTGGGGTCCCTGTGCTTTAACTGACCCTGGGAATTTCTGAAGATGACTTTTTTTTTAAATAACTACCCCTAGTAGCTGGGTAAGGTACGCCGTTGGGCCCCCACATCCAGTCACTACTCTTACGGAGAAATCCCAATCATAAACCCTGCACATACATGTCATTTTGAAAACTTTTTAGAAGAATCAGAATGTTAAGTACAAAACAAAAACTAAAAACCCCAAATTCCAGAATGCATGCAAAATCAGTTGACAAAACAGTAATGTCCATAGAATAAGAAATTAGAAATAAATAAATAAATAAATAAATAAATAAATAAATTAGGGGCTGGAGAGATGGCTCAGCGGTTAAGAGCACTGGCTGCTCTTCCAGAGGTCCTGAGTTCAATTCCCAGTAACTACATGGTGGCTCACAACAATCTGTAATGAGATCTGGCACACAGACAGAACACTGTATACATAATAAATAAATAAATCTTTAAAAAAAAAAAAGAAAGAAAGAAAGAAAGAAATTCGACTCTCTGGCCAAGAGTGCTAAGTTCATGTTTGCTCTATGAACCATACTTGTTGGTTTTGAGGAAGGATTGATACACAGCCCGCCCTTGCCAAGAATTGGAAATTCTCCTGTTGCAAGCTCTGCAATGTTGTGGAATATTTAACGATGCACAGAATGTATTGCATTGTTTTACGTTGCATTTGTTTAATCTGCAAAACTGTGTTACTGAGCCTGTCTAAAACACCTGATTGGTCTGAATGGTCATTAGCTAGGCAGGAGAGAGAAACAGGCGGGGCCACCAGGCAGAGAGAACAAACAGAAGGAGAAATCTAGGCTTGAGAGAAGTGGGAAGAGTGAGAAAAAGGAGGACAGAAGGACACCAGGGGCCAGCCACCCAGTCACACAGCCAGCCATGGAGTAAGATGGAAAGAAAGAGACATAGAATAAAGAAAGGTAAAAAGCCCAGAGGCAGAGATCCACGGCTAGGCCCCGGGTGGAGCTGTGGGAGTCCAATTAGCGAGAAAGAGAAGGGTTTATATGAGCGAGAATTGTTGAAACCAAGGTTGGATAAAGCACAGGGACAAATAGCCAAACAAATGGAAACACATGAACTATGAACCAAAGGCTGAGGGGCCCCCAACTGGATCAGGCCCTCTGAATAGATCTCTGAAGTATTCGAAGGCCACCTGTCCAAACAAACAAACAAACAAACAAAAAAAGCCCAGAGGCAAAATGTAGTTAAAGAGAAATAGGACAAGTTAAGTAGAAAAGCTGGCTAGAAACAAGCCAAGTTAAAACTGGGCATCCATAAGTAAGAGTTAGTCTCCATGTATATATTTGGGAGCTAGGTGGCAGGTCCCCAAAGAGTGAAAAAAACAACCAGCTACACTGCACTGTTGGGATTACACATGTGTGCCCAGCTCTGAGCCACTTTCTCACATCCCTGGAGAATCAAAGGCCCTAAGTCCATCTTCTTTGATTGACAGCCGGCGGCAGCAAGGTTGATCGGGCTTGTTCTGGACCTTCCCTCTGGACTTGTTTCCTACTAAGTGGGTGGCTGCATGCCATGGGGAACACACTCCTGGGACTCCCCTTCCTACCACCAGAGCAGGGAGACACAATCCATACACACAGGCCAAGCAGGAACTGAGCATGCCTGCAGACTGGTGGCCTGACACTCCCTCAGGCCCAGACTTCACATTTGGCTGAAGGTACGAAGAAGTATCCACTTGCCCTCATCACCTTGGGGCTCACCTCATACCTTAACCTCAGGGCTGCTCCTAGACACACCTTCCTTGCTTTGTGCCCACAAGAAACCCATCTCTGGAGTTGCCTTCTCTGACTGGCTCACCCAGTCTCCTGTCCATCTTTTAGACTGTTCAGCCTCTGCTTCCTCCCACCTACCCTGGACCAGTCTCCCTCTGAGTTGCTCACTCTTGGCAGTTAGTCGCCATCACAGCAAGCAGATGAAACCCTGTCTCAACCAGGACTTTCCCACTGCTCCACCCCTGCACCCTCTTGCAGTGACAGAGCCTTCTCCAGATGCACTCAGCACAGAAGAGGCCCTCAACTTCTGTCTGCTCTTGGCCAAGGTCACCTGTCTATGTGGAAACTAGTGGGTAACTGGTAAATTTCAAAGATGTCTAGTCTCCAGTTCAGAGCACCTTGACAATGTCAACTTCCTGCTTTTCGTAACTTCTCTGTGACACTGTAGGGGCCATGAAGTAATACGGAGGAATCTGGGTGAGGGGCACATTGGAACTTTATAAAGTCACTTTCTCAGGAGATACTTAAATTAAAAGATGTTTTAAGTAAGGCAGCAGATTTCCTGAATTCCAAATATAACACAAAGCTTTATGATTTTATTATCACCTTCGCAAATAGCCAGCCATCCTCTATATCATTTGTCTGGCTTACACATTCCTGTATCTTACTGAGCTCTCCGAATCCATGCGCACCAAGAGCCTGCAGCTTGGGGTCAGAGGTCTCAGCATCAAATCCTAGCACCACAGCTAGTCAGCTGGTGACCCTGACAAGTTACAAACCTGCGTTCTCACGAGGCAGGGCCACAGGCACTGCCCGCTCCAGGGCATCACCACACAAACCAATGCCACCAAGGGCCAGCATTATGGAGGAAGACCAGAGAAAAGGACAGAGGGCGCCGCACACATTCTCATCAACCTGCCCTGGTCCTTAACATAGCTCGGGACTACCTCGCAGTCTCCCTCAGCACTGCTTGCGTTTCCACAGCCAGTTTTAAATCTTCCACTGTCCTTTAGCACCCTCTCTATCTGCCTTTCTGCTGTCAGAAGACCTCACCTAAGCGCACCAGACAGCAGCGAGCCCTCACGTGACCGCTCGGCTTCCAGTTCTCCTTGCCAGGACACTATCTTCCCTCACCCTCGCCACCCTGCTGACCCTCCATCTAAGCCCCACCCCCTCCTCTGCAGGGCTCTCTTCCCACCCATCACCTCCCTTGTGCTTGTATCACGTTTCCAGCCAACTAGCTCCTCCCAAGGCAATCATAATACCTAGCTCCTCCCAAGGCAATCACAATACCGTAGAATCTTCCCTATCTTTGTTGTTGATGGAGTTTCTCTGTGCAGCCTCGCTGTCCTATTCTGGCCTTGAACTCAGAGATCCGCCTGCCTTTGCCTCCTGAGTGCTGAGATTAAAGGTGTGGGCTATCACAGCCTTCCCTACCTTAAACCATCAACATCAACCCTTCCCAACTATCTCCCCACGCCCACTTGCCCTTGAGGACATTGACCCCAGGAATGGACACCTGCTTGCTTGAGTGTCTCAGGAACTAGAGCTACTTGGCACATGGCAGACACTCAGTGTCCAGTGTGTTCCAATGCCAGTTTCTGAAAGGTACGCACAACTTCCCAAGAAGAGTAGAACATTACAGACATCTGCCTAAAGAACATTACAGACGTCTGCCTAAAGAACATTACAGATCTCTGCCTAAAGAACATTACAGATCTCTGCCTAAAGAACATTACAGAAGCCGGGCGGTGGTGGCGCACGCCTTTAATCCCAGCACTCGGGAGGCAGAGCCAGGCGGATCGCTGTGAGTTCGAGGCCAGCCTGGGCTACCAAGTGAGCTCCAGGAAAGGCGCAAAACTACGCAGAGAAACCCTGTCTCGAAAAACCAAAAACCAAAAACCAAAAAAAAAAAAAAAAAAAAAAAAAAAAAAAAAAAGAACATTACAGACGTCTGCCTAAAGAACATTACAGATGTCGTCTAGCTAACACTGTGGTTGTATTCACCACTGCTATTACCATTTTTATTCACCTTCCCAAACCCTGGCTTACACTCACAGAAACAACTAGAGAGGACATGCATGGATGAATCCAAGTCTCCACTAACAGCCCACATCCAAGTGGGACAGTGCATCCAGGTTTTAGAGTTCTGGCTGAATGTTCCCTGGTAATGAAATCTCACTGTCCCATAGCAAATCCACTGCTCCTCTACCCCAGTTCACCCCTCTATCCTGTCAAAGCCAACAATAACTCCAGGATAGCCTAAGCCAGGACTGAGAAGTACTCTTGAGTTACCTCTCGCCAATTACACCTTCTTCATTAGCAAATCTCAACGCTGCCACCCCTTCACTATCCATCCGTCCCTAAGCACACGGCATGAGGCTAATAAAGGGGTCTCTAAACCAAGTCTTCTGATTGGCTGTTGGATTTTAGACTAAAAATACTTTAGTCTATTTATAATCAGGCACCTCACGATCTCTTCAGCCTCACCCCCTATGTGCTGCCAAACAGCCCTACTCCACCAGCCACTCGGCAGGAAAACACCAAAAGCACGGATTTGCGCTAGTGGTCTCTATAGTCTCCCCATGATGTCCCTAAGCCCTTCCACCTCTGGGTCTCTGCACACATTACTGTCTGACCTAAGTTCCCTCTTCCACTCTCTGTGCCCGACACACTCCTCCATACACCCGCTTCCTCTGGGAAGTTCTTCCTGAGGGGCCCATGCAGGACGGTCAGCACACCCAGGACACCTCCTGTCCACCCTGCTTCCACAGAGTGGTCTGTGGACTGCACTCTCTCTAATCACTTACCCGCTTGGCTTCGGCTCAGCAGTTGCGTTTATAACCAGTGAGTCTGACCCCATCATAAGAAATACACTGTATTATTTTACCGACTCCTCGTAATCACCCTACGGAATTAGGGTGTTTGTGATTGTTTGTTTGTTTTGAAAAGGGTCTTGCTGGGTAGCCCAGGACAGTCTCAAATTCTTATCTTACTGCCTCAGTCTCCTGAGTTAGAATTAAGCATATTTGCCAGCATTTCCAGATAAAGACTTTTTTTTTTTCCTTCAATTTGCCCTTATTGAATAGACAGGGTCTCACTATTTAGCATTGGCAGCCAGGACTGCCTATATGGACCAGGGTGGCCTTGAACGCACAGTAACCCACCTGCTTCTACCTCCTGGGTGCTGAGATTGAAGGCATGAGACACCACACCTGGCTCACTGGCTTTTAATTTTGAGAAAACTGAGGCACAATGAGGTGAAATCACCTGCCCAGACTGCACAGCCCACAAGAGACCCCCCACCTGTCCCCAGAGCCTACATTTACGGATACTGTGCTATGCCATTTCCCAGGGAACCCGAGGAAGCACGAGGCAGGGTGAGGATCGAGGTCACAAGAGCACCGGGGAGGCAACCAGGGGCTCACCTGTCGTATGATGTGCCACAGCCTTTGCCAGCATTGTCTTTCCGCAGCCAGGTGGGCCATACATGAGGACACCCCGGGGAGGATCGATGCCGATCTGAGGGAGGTGAGAAGGGATGAGCCAGGAATCCTGTCAGCCACCCCAGCAGGCCCAGGAGGCCTCTCCCTGCCCTCACCTGCTTGTAGAGCTCGAAGTGTGTGAGTGGGAGCTCCACGGCCTCCCGCACCTCCTGTTTCTGGATGTCCATGCCCCCGATATCCGCATACATCACATCTGGCTTCTGGTCTGAGGTGAGCATCATGATGCTGCTGTCGGCCTCCGGAGGCAGCACGTCCACCAGCGCGTTGCTGTGTTTGTGCAGGGCCACTGAGGCATTGGGCTTGAGCAGCTCCCGATCGATGGTACTGAGGATGCGCACATAGTAGTTGGAGCCTTTGGAAAGGAAGGAAAGAGAATGGAAAGGGGGAGACGCTCCCTTTACACCGCAGGGGGCCCTTTCTAAGGTTTCGCATCTGGACCCAGATCAGCCCCTCTTGGCCTCCAGTTTTGCCTCCTCCAATCCAGCGCCATGCTCACGCTTATGAGTTCCTTGTCTGTCTACAGCCCTGATTCTCTCTTGAGTTACAGCTTTGGTGACCATACGCCATGTTCTGGATGTCCCTGGGTATCTTTCAATGTGTCCCGACACAATACTGCTATTTTTCTCTAAACTGTGCTATTTCTCCTGGATCTGTCTCAAGGACACCCACTGTGCTCGAGTTCCCAGCCAGAGGAATAAGCCTCATATTGGACCCTTCTCTCCATCCTTTCAGAGCCCCCACTCACTGTGACTTTCCACACAACCTCCCCCATCGATTCAACCAGTCCCTCCTTTGGCATCACCTGTTCTACAAGCATAGCTGTACTGTCTAAGTCTCTGCATGAATCCCTGGTCAGCAGTCTCCATCCCTCCTCTCCCATACTCCCTGCAGTTACACTAGTAATGCACAGCAAAACATGAAGCTAGACATCTCCCAAAACAACCTCAACTCCCTCACTGTCTCCTGCAAACCCTCCCCTCCAGCCACACTATCTCGGGGGGCCCACCCTCTTCAGGCTTCATCCTGGACATCGTTCTCCCTTGCTTCCTCATAGCCCAGCTGTCCAATCCCAAGTGATCATACACCTCTATGTAGAACCTTTCTAAGCACATGGCTCAGTCCGGAGCAGCAGTGGCCAGAAGCAGGCCGGTGTAAGGGCAGGGCATGGATTTCTGTTCACCGACAGCAGTTACTGTATGCCGAGCCCCAAGTTTACAGAGCCCCGAGTTTTAACGTGCTGCCAGTGCTTTCAAAGCGCAGCTCCTAACCCAGCAGTGGTGAAATAAGCTCAACGGGTCACGACCGTAAGTCCGTTTAAGTCAAACAGACTACAACAGAAACATCGGAGGTACAGCACATACAGGGTAAATAATCATGTTGGACTTTCTTTTGGAGACAGGGTCTCTCTATGTAGTTCTGGAATGCACTATGTGGACCAGGCAGGCCTCAAACTCAGAGATCTTCCCTGTCCCTGCCTCTTCAGTGCTGAGATTAGAGGTGTACACCATCACCTGGCTAGCGAAACTTTTATATATATGCATACATGAATTGAGAGGTGCAAAGAGCCACTCAGGAAATAAAATACACATCTTCTTTTGGACTAGTCGATCCTCTGGCCATTACATCACCCTGCCTTGCTATCCTTAGGACGTGACAATTCCCAGTTCCTGGCCTACGGAGGAATCAGGTGTTGGACAGACAGAAGAGCCACTGAGGGGCCCCCAACCTGCCCGACCACTCACCTGTGGTAGAGCCCACAATGGCTGTGTTCTGATCCACAGCCTCCAGAAACTGACCAATGACCAACGGGATGCTCTGGATTCGCTTCACTTCCTCCTGGGCGTGGAGGAATTCTTTCTTCAGATTCTTCTGCTCATCTTTGATATACTCCTCCTGCACCTCCAGGAACTCCAGCTCCTGCTGCAGCTTCTGTAAGCACAGAGCAAAGGGCTGTCTGTAGGCCTTGCTGCACCAGACTGGAAGGTGGGCGCAGTCTGTGATGGGGGCCCCATGAGGGTCCCGGTCAGGGCTGAACACACCTTGTAGCGGCTGTACAGGTCCTCCAAGTCCTCGGGTTCAGGCCCCAGAAAGGACAGGCCAGTCTGGGGCCGAGACACAGACAGTGCTGGGATCTCATCCTACAGATGAAAAGGAAAACTTGGCGTTGGAAGTCGAGAATCACCTCCTGAAATCAACTCCAGTGCTTTCTCCCCATTTCACCCCCAAGCCACTCAGGCTCTAGCACCTGACCGAACTCGAGTTCTCTAAATGAATACAGGAACTGCTCAATCCCCATTGTAGGTTTCTCCTATCAGGCCCCTTACACTGCTCACGTCAACATCTCCCGTCTGCTATTACAATGCCCCCTAACTAGGGTGCAAATGTTACAGCAAACTCCGATACCAGACCCCAGCATCCCGGTCCCCTCAGGAGTTCACATGGTTTTTAAGGTCAGAGCACATCCAGAGTTTCATTACTCAGTTTCCCCGGCAAAGCTTTCATGTCAGACTCCCAACTCACATTAAGGCCAAAGGTCACTCAGCCAAGCCACAAATAACACTTAACGCCTCCCCGTCCAAGCCCCAACCACGGTCGGTCCACTAGCCACTTGGCCACCGACATCCGGGGCCACGGGGTCCCACTACATCCTTCTCCACCTGGTCCAAGCCCCAAACCGAAAAGCTGCTAAGCACAGCTCTCCCGGCCTCGAAATGGCTCGGCTTTAAGGAGTCTCTGAGTTTAACGCCACTTCCCCTGCCGCTCTGCTGTTCGGAGCTCTGCCGCCCTCCCGAGAACACGGCCACCCAGCCAGGCCTCGGGACCACGCCAAGCTCTACCCCGAGGCCTCGGAAGCCACCCAGTGCCGGCCTGCCTTCCCGGAATCCACTCAGCACGCCACTTGGGCCTAGCTCGCGCAAAGAAACCCAGATTCTCACCGCACCTGAACCTTCTCCACCAAAATGCCTATCTCCTCCATAGTGACCAAGCCGGCCTCCGTGCAGCCCGGCTAGTCACGGCTTCCGCTGACGCCAACGGAAGTCCTTCGCATAGAGCATCTTGGGAAACGTAGTTTAAGGTATGGCCGGGGGCGGACAGGCTGGGCGGGAATCGCAGGCAGGGCGGGAAAGACTGGGCCCTGGGCTCCGCCCCCAAGACGTGCGCCCGTGCTCTGCGGGCCCGCGAGGCGGTTCGCGCGTGCGCAGCCGCTCTCCTCCGGCGCCGTCTTGCTCCGCGGCGGCTCGCGCGTCGTGGGGCTTTCTCTCCAGTAGGTGGCGCGGCCGCGCTGCTCTTGAAGACGGTCTGCGGAGATTTGTCAGAGGGCGTTCTCACGTTCAGCTGAGCTGTGGGACCTGAGTTCGGTTCTACGGAAGAATCTCTTCTGACAGTCCTCTGGCCGCCACCGGCGGCGGACGGAAGCAAAGGCCACGGAACGGCGAGGAGCCAATCAGATCGCACCAGAGCTGGAGAAAATGAGGCAGCTGCGGGTGCGTTAGAGCCCTGCCGGTCCCGTCGAATCTTCCTCTTCTCTTTCTCCGTCTTCTTTCTTCTTCATCGGGGGGGGGGGGGGGGGGGGTGGAGTTGGGCGGAGAGATGGCTCAGCGCTGAAGAGCACTTGAGGCTGTTGTAGAAGACCCGAGTTCGGGTCTCAGCGTAGACGTGGTAACTGACTCCTTTGGCTTCTGCGGGCACCTGCTCTCAAGCGCACATCCCCACTTGCAGATACACACACCTACACATAATTAAAAGTAATAGCAATAAATCTTTTTTTAAAGGATTTTATTGTTAATTGTGTGTGTGTGTGTGTTAGAGCGTGAGTTTGTGCACGTGCATGCAGTACAACGGAGGCCAGAAGAGTGCGTAGGAGTCTGTGGCACTGGAGTTACAGGCTGTGAGCCATCTCTCCGGCCTCCTGTTGAATTATTATTATTGTTGTTATTATTTCCCTCCCAGGTGCTGGTAATGGAGCTTGGGGCCTTTTGATATGCTAAGCAAACCCAGCTAAAATTCTTGGTATGTACTATGTTCTCTTTTACAGAAAAGAAAGAGGTGTCAAGCCCTAAAGTCACTTGAGCAACTGGCAGAGATGGCAAAGCATGGTTGGAACCTGGATCTGTCTGTGCTCCTGGTCCAGGGACATACGCTACCACACTACACAACAGCTACAGTGTTTGTTAAGTAAACTTTTTATTAGAGTGTAAATAGGGAGCAGGCGTAAGTCTGCGCAAACTGGACTCCCTGTACGTTCTCGATGGTATGGAGAATGATCTACGATAGCTGTGATACTGGCCAGCAGGTGGGTTCCTTTCCTCCATCAGCTGAAGAATTAAAAAGCAGGAAAAGAGTTCCACACAAAGTAAAAGTGAAGTTTAGTGGCAAGCAGTGCAGACACGGAGAGAGGGAGACCTCTGACCGCTAGGGGAGGTTGGGGTGTTATTTGGGTTTACGGTGTCCCACCTGGTGACTGCCACGCCTTTCTTCCGTTGATCTAATGATGTTTATGTGGCCCTTCAGTAAGCAGACCTTCGTCTCGGTCCACCAGCACAGAAATAACTGAACTGTTGATTGGCTAGGGTAAGAGTGGGCACCCCAGTGTTCTCTCCTTGTTGTGGTGTAACAGGTGTGGAGAGGCCCACAATATATGGGGGAAAGTGGTACATGGTTCAGAGAAATGGAAACTTACTGCTGGGTGCAAACCCTACCAAGAATTGGAAACTCTATTTTTGGAGGGAAAAAAAAAATTTAAAAACTGTGGGCCCAGGGCCTTATCCTGTTTTTCAGTTTTGAATGAGTGTTCCATATATATGTGTATATATAAATAGCTATAATGTATATATTTCAAAAGAAAAATAGCAAATAGCAGATAATGAAACATCATCAAATTGTGAGTTTATAACATTCAGCAGAGATTAGACTAGAGATACCCCATCAAGGCGGCTGGAATCCCCACTGGAAAGCCCCGGGTGGGGCAGAGTATCCTCTTAGTGGAGGCTTCCAAGAAGAGCAAACGCATACAGATAACATCATCAGATTGGGCACTTACAGTCAGTCATCCATCAAAAATGATTCGGGAAGCCCCGTTGAGGCAGCCAGGCTCACTTGGCTGGAACAAAGTATCCTCTCAGGCGAGGCTTCCAAGGAAAAGAACAAACGCATGCAGCAGGTAGATAACATCAAAGCTGGTGCCTCCAGTCACCTGGCAGAAACCACCTCTGCTTGGTTGAGAGTTCCAGCTGGGTAGGGGATTCTCCCACGGCTGAGCTTGGGCTCCCGTTTCCCACTTCAGCCATTTTTATACCACCGGATAAACAGCAGGAGCCTCTGGTGCAAGTGTGTGCCTTCCAGGCGTTCACAAGGACACAAGGGTTTGCTGCGGCTGTTGTTTTACATTTTTTATTCTAGGGGTGGGATGCACCAGAACTTGCAGATCAGTTCTTGCCCTCTGCCACCCAAGTCCTGGAAATCAAACTCAACCAAGCACCTTTCCCCCACTAAAGCCACCTCACTGGCCCCCACACATTGTGTTTATGATTTTATTTTTATTCATGTGTATGCGTGTGCACCATGTGCACACAGAAGCCCTTGGAGGTCGGAAGAGGCAATGGAAACCCTGGAACTAGAGTTGCAGGCTGTTGCGAACCTCTGAGTGGTGCCAGGAATGGAACCCCGGTCCTCTGAAAGAGCAGAAAGTGCTCTTAACCACTGAGCCGTCTCTCCAGTCCCGCTCCTGGACACAGTGGTTGTAAGCACACTTAGCTTCTTGCTGTTTTCCTTTCTCCTAGTTACAGAGTTAGAGGGATCAGCCTCCCCTCAGACAGGGCTCTGCGGAAGACAGATTGAGACAAACATGTCTGGGTCTGGAATGGAGGGCCCACTTAATGCGCTCCCACAGCACGTGACAGTTCACCAATACAATGCACACTGCACTGCAGAGCTGTTACCCAGATCGACCAACCAAACACAACCGCTCCCAGGGCACCCCATACTCCCTTTGCCCCCAGTAAAAGGATTCACTCATGCTGACAAAGATGTCATTGAATTTGAATTTTGAATTTTCTCCAGACCTGTACAGTATATTGTGTTTATCTTTTTAGAAACTTATCATTATATTGGCGAGATTCTGTTATGTGTAAAAAATAGTTTCCATTTTTGAAAGATTCCCACTGGGGAATATCCAAATATGTTTCTTTCAGTAAACATATACATTTATTTGGGGACTATACTCAAGAGTGGAATTGGTGGCTGAGGGAATGGCTCGGTCAGTAGAACACAAATGTGAAGACCTAAGTTTGTTCCTCGGAACCCATGTAATCCCTGTGCTGAGGAGATGGAGAAGGGAGAACCCTACAGCTCCTGTGCAGTCTAATTAGTGCACCCAGGCCGATAAGAAACTTAAAGGAGGCAGATGGCATTCCTGAGGATGACACCAGGGTTGTCCTTCAGCCTCCCCACAACCATGCGCCATGAACATGTTCACAGACATGGAAATGAGCTTTTGTAACTGAGCGGAATTGGAGGCCATAGGGGCAAAGCGTAGCTGGAGGGTTTTCTCGCCGGGTCCCGCCAAACCCCGGCAGTCCCTTAGCCCACTTATAAAATAAACATACAGACGCTTATATTATTTAAACTGCTTGGCCATTAGCTCAGGCCTATCATTGTCTAGCTCTTACTCTTATGTTCAGCCCATTTCTATTAATCTATACTTTGCCACGTGGCTCGTGGCTCACCGGCATCTTCATGTGCTGCTTGTCATGGCGGTAGCTGGCAGTGTCTCTCTGCCTCAGCCTTCCACTTCCCAGAATTCTCCACTCTTTGTCCCAGCTGCCTGCCTGGGTGACCCCAGGTGTCTCCCTCTCTACCTCCTGTTCTCTCTCAAGCCTAGATTCTTCCTCCTTATTCTTTCTGCCTGCCAGCCCTGCCTATCCCTCTACTGCCTAACTGTTGACCATTAAGCTTTTTATTAGACCAATCAGAAGCCTTAGGCAGTCAGGGTAAAACAGTAACACATCTCTACATAGTTAAACAAATGCAGCATAAACAAATGTAACACATCTCTACATAGTTAAACAAATGCAGCATAAACAAATGCAACACATCTCTACATAGTTAAATATTCCACAACACCAGTGCTTCCTGCCCAGTGCCAGCTTTATGCTCAGAAACTCAGAGGTTAGTCACACCTGGCCCAGCCTCTCTGTTTACAGTCCAAACATTTTTAATTTTCCTCAAAGGGAAAACAAGAAGAAAAGAATGGACAATTTTTTAATTCTACCTTTCACCTTATATCTACTAGACATTCCATAACCTTACAGCTTAAAATCTATGACTTCAAATCCATGATCCGCCCTTTGCTTCTAGTCACTCCAGTTTCCAAGCACCATGCCCAGTTCTGTGTGGTCCTTGACCAGCACTGTTGTGGCATATCCCCCAGAGAAGACAGCTTGGATATGAGTTTAAGCCAATAAAGTCTTTACACTGGGTGTTTAGGATCTCAGTGTAGCACTGGACCTTTCTCAGGATGAGCTTCTAAGCACAAAGCCATATCCTGGTTGACATACTTCAGTTAACAAGAAGAGTTAGCCAGAAGCAGAACTCAGAGCCCAAAAAGCACTTTGACTTTCCCAGAGCCATGGACTTTGATGGATTAGGTCTAGGGTTTTGTTTGGGCCAGTGGTACTGTCTGTGTGCGGAGTTTTACAGCCTGAATGGCACTTCCATCATGGAGTCAGTTGTGTTAAGGTCTGGGACCCTGTTACATACTTTACCTCATTTTCTTATCTTCCATAGCAGCCTTAGAAAGTTGATGGCAGAAATAAGAAGTAGTTGTGTAATTTGTTTCAGTTTTGGTTTTTGAGATCACTCTCTATAGCTGTTGACTGGCTTGGAACTCACTCTTTAGACCAGGCTGGCCTCGAACTCAGATCCACCTGCCTCTGTCTCCTGAGTGTTGAGGTTAAAGGTGTGCACCACCACACTGGCTACACTAATGATTCTTAAGTGCTTTATGCATACCACCAGATTTAATCCTCAGAGTGGTGCTTGAAGTGAGAGCTCTGGCTTCCCTATGTCCTCAGGTCCTACATGAGAAACCAGGCTCAGGAGGTGAAGTTACTTGCCACGCACTCAGTAAGAAATCACAGAGATGGCATTAAAGTCAGAGTCCAGAGTCGTAACATCGTCGATAGTTATTATTGATGTGTCCAACATCTTACACAGGTAAGCCAGTCTTTCTCAAGATTTAGGAGATCCGATGCTCTCAGGAGTTTTGCAAGCTAGACCCACCTTTCCCTGTACTGCATTATGAAGACCCTTCATGGCACTCCCCAGAGCAGCCCGCGGGGGCTAGTCAACACACAGGGAAGCTAGAATCAAGAAGGCTCACTTCACTTCATCTCTTCAGCTTTAAGCCCAGAGCTTGCTTTCTCTCTGCTCCACCACCATGGCAAAGAAATCCTAACTGGTCTCGTAGCTGGAACTTAGGGCCTTGGGAGAGGCTCAGTAGACAGGAGCAGGCAAACAAGAAAACGAAGATCGCCAGGCTGATTGAGAAGGCATTCTCATTTACAGAACGCACCTGGCACCAGTTCCAGTTAAAACAGCCGGGCCAGAGTGTCAGCTCATGGTTCCTAGGCCTGACGCTTCAGAGAAGTCCAAGGCTGAGTGCTGGGGTGGGTGGAGTTCAGTGCTAGATGGCTGCTACATGTGTTGATACCCAGCACACCCTCAAAATGACGGGGGACTGGACCCTTAATTAAAGTCTTTGAACTTTACAGTGTTGGCGTTTCATTTAAAACGTAACACTGTGCCGGTTAAAAGAGAAGCGTCTTTGTGCTTCTCCCACCGTCTGAGGCGTGGTGTGCACTCATCTGGTCCCCAGGACTGCTCTAACGGTACCGGAATGGAGACCTTCCCCGTGCTGGGAGAGAGATGGAAGAAGGCTTGAACCTCTCAGAAGAGAGTGAGGATAATAGTAAAACGAAGAAAGGTTAACTTGGGGGAAACCAACTGTGAGTTGGTCTCTAACGACTGTTACTGGGTTAAGTAAACTTAAACACTTTTTTTCATTTTATTTTTTAATTTCATGTGTGTGTGTGCTGTTCCTGTATGTATGTCTGATCCCCTGGGACTGGAGTTACAGTTGGTTGTGATATGTGGGAGCTGGGAATTGAACCTGGGTCATCTGCCCGAGTAGTTAGTATTTTAACTCTAAGCCATCTGTCCACTATGAGACATTCACTATGGGCTATAATACAATTTAAAAGATTTAGTGAAGTATTCACAAACTAATACTTTAAAAGGAAAAAATAAGACCAGGCGCAATGGTGCACGCCTTTAACCCCAGCACTTGGGAGCAGAGGCAGGCGCAGGCCTGATCTACATAGCAGGGCTGTGAGATCCTGTCTCAAAAAAACCTTTTCAAAAATCTTTTCAGGTTGAATTTTCAGAGTTAAAGAAAACTTCTAAGAACTGCCCACACTCTTAGCCCAGATTCTCTTCACACATATGTGTATGATTTGCATATTTTCATGATATACCAAAAATTCTGCTAGAATTTGTATGTGGGTTGCATTCAGGAAGACTTGGCATTGTAACAATATTGGCACTTCTGATCTGTATAATGTGACAGGCCTATGTAAGCCTTTGATTTCCGTTTTTATTCTTTTTTTTCCTTTTCTTATTTTAAATTTATTTATTTATTTATGTTTTTTGAGATAGGGTTTCTCTGTGTTGTTTGGTGCATGTCTTGGATCTCACTTTGTAGACCAGGCTGGCCTCGAACTCACAGAGATCTGCCTGGCTCTGCCTCCCAAGTGCTCAGATTAAAGGCGTGCACCACCACCGCCTGGCTCTTTTTTCCCTTTTAGTATACAGATTATCCATATAACTTGGTATACTTACATCTATTTCACTTTCTTAAATAATACCTTTATGAAGCAGCTACAACCAATCTGTAATAACCAATACATATTTCAGATTCTATTGCTTTTTATTTAGGGGCTGGGGGCGTGTGTATGCCAGGGCACATGTGTGCAGGTCAGAAGATAACTTGTGGGAGTCTGATCCTTCTGCCATGTGGGACCTTGGGGTAGAAGTCAGGTGGTAAGGCTCAGTGGCAAGCCCCTTTATCCACTGATCTGTCTTACTGCCCAATACATGGGCACATATTTAAAGTGTACAGTTTGGTACAGTTTAATATTTTTGTACATACATATCAACAGAATTAAGATGATAAATATATCTTCTACACTCTAATGTTCTTTTTATGTCCCTTTATATTCTCCCTCTACCTTCAAAACGACACCTCAAAAATTTATATAATTAAACAGCATGTGCTCTTTCACTTGGTCTAATTATTCTGAGACTTACTCATATTACTGTGTGTTAACAGTTCCTTTTTCTTGTTTGGTATGACTTGGCGTTGCATTGTTGACAGTGGCTGACTGTCAAAGCAGAGCTGATGGGACCTGTCAGGACTCCAGTCGACGCTCGATGAACTGTGAGTGTATAAATATCAGCAAGCAGATGCCTAATGCCTCTTCCCTTTGCTGTCGTCAAGCACTGGGAACAGGTTAAACCACTGCTTGGACAAAGAGAGACATTACATCTGACACCACAGACCACTGTAGCTCGGACACCACAGATGAGGATCTTTGTAGATTAGTATGAACAACAGCATTGGTCTGAAAATTAAGTTTCTAACACATCCTACAAGGCCAGCACGCCACGGATACCAAGCCATAGATGACATGGACACAATGTCATGTTACTTTTCTTGCTGCTGTTTAAAAAAATACTTGACCAAAGAGACTTCAGGAAGGAAAGCTTTGTTTTTCCTCCTGGTTTGAGGGAGTGCAGTCCGTTTTGATGGAGAAAGCACAGTAGCGGAGTGTGAGGTGGCCGGCTACAGTGGGTCCAGTTAGAGCAGAAAGAGGTGAGCCTAAGACTCAGTCCACTTTCTCCTCTGTTCATCTTTGTTCAGCCTGGGATCTCAGGCCATAGAATGGTTCTATCTCATTAGTGGGGGGTGGGTCTTTGCTCAAATGAAACTCTAGAAACGCCCTCACAGACATATCCGGGAGTGCGTCTCAGCTGATTCTAAATCCAGTCCACCTGACAGTGAAGACTGACGGTCTCAAGCCCTCCCCTTGTCAGCTTGGCACCCAAAACATCACTTTTAAATCATAGCATTTCATTTTTAGCTCCTAAAAGTCTCATATTTATCTCACAATGAAAAATAAATTTAGATCGTCACTAAAAGTCTCCAAAAACTTAGCAGTTTCTAACATTTACTCAAAATAGTAAAGGCAGGGCATCTGCTGAGACTAGGTAATTCCTTAACTCTAAGCATCTGTTTTACAGAAGTTATCTACTTCCAATATACAACGACATGGTAAATATTCCCATCCTAAATTGGGGCGCGGGGGGGGGGGTTGGCTCCTAGCAAGACAGAAATCCAGTAGAGCAAACACCAAATCTTAAGCTTTATGCCTGCCATCTTGGGCTCTTGGTAGCATCATCTCACTTCCAACAGCTGTAGGTAACCCTGTTCCTCCAGCTTCGCCACTTGTAGCCAATGTGGTGATATCCACCCCCTCCACTGGGCCAGTTTCATTCCATGACTACAACTTTCCTGGAGAGACATTCCATGGTCCTAGCATCTCCAATGTCCAACCCTGCAGCTTAGGTTTCACATTCACTACCGTACATAATGGAACTTTTTGCATTGCATCTGACTCTGTCACACATTGCTTGTGTAGGGTAAAAAGTCCAAGCTCACTTCCAGGTTTTGAAAACCCACCAATCCCTGAACTTGAAAACCCACCAATGCCCACTCTGGAAAACTCCACTCCCAAGAACCCTGTATAAGGCTGCCTCCCACTCAGTTCTCTGCTGCTTCTCACCCCAGCAGAGGCGGCCGCTCTCTTGTGTCTCTCCCAATACATTTCTTGTGTGAGGTTTGTTGTGCAGTGTGACTTTGTGGTATTCCTTGGCTCCCAACTGTCAGGATACCTTTCCCTTCAGAGTTGCGACACTTGCATTGGGGAATCTTTTCCCCTCAGAGCTGTAACACTTACAGCCTGAACTTAGCAGCTTTCTGGAACCTTGGAGCAAGGCTCTGCGATCCCATCACTCTTCTGTTTTTTGGTTGTGAGCCTCGCCTTTGACGGCCGAGCTGTCTCTCCACCCTGGTCTTGTATTTTGCACGCATGCCCAGCCAGTACCATTTGGCCAGGCCGCTGTCGCCTTCAGATGTGATCTGGCTGTCTTCCACTGCAGCTGTAGTCTGTGTACCTTGGCAGCTGGACCTGGGAAACACTTGGGTGGTTACTTTTGAGCAGAAGACCCCTTTAGCTGTGTTCTCAGTCAGTCTCTCAAAAGGAGTTCCAGTTTTACACACAGGAGCTTTTTATAAGGTAGTTCTTGCCTAAAAGCAGCTTTCCTATTATCACAGTGAAGCGTTCAAGATTTCTCCTTAATCGTGCTAATTTCCCTAACAATCATGACTGCTTTCTCCTCACCCCACTTGTCTGCAACTTTAAACTCGTCCATGTCCTTGCCTTGCCAAGAGCGTACTTTTCGTACCATTTTGACCCCTTTGCTGATCTTTCTCACTCTAAACCTGGATGAGAGCAGAGAGCAGTGATCATACACAAACTGAATGCTGTCTTGAAGTTTCCTCTTGTAAACAAATTAGTCTATTGCTTTTGAATCCAGCCTCACTTGAGTTCCTGAGGCAGATTTGGTTTTTTTAACGGAATGTAACACATGGGCCTCGGTTCAGTTGTTTTAGTTTTATTCTCCCTCTGAGATCTCGAGCACAGTTTTCACTGCCCACCTTTTTGTCATCTTTCCAACACCGGCCAGAATATCCTGTTACACTCTGGTATAGCGTCGAAAAAGGTTTCTCTGTATAGCCCTGGCTGTCCTGGAACTCACTTTGTAGACCAGGCTGGCCTGGAATTCAGAAATCCACCTGCCTCTGCTTCCTGGGATTAAAGGTATGCACCACCACTGCCTGGCTTCATCTAGGGCTCTTTAAACTGCTTTCCGAATACTTCCACATTCCTGCAGAAAATCAGTTCCAAAGGCCCATGATCACATGATCACATGACCACATGATCAGGTTTGTCACAGCAACAGCCCCAATTCTAGGTACCAGACTGCTGTGTTAGTTATTTTTTTTCATTGCTGTGAGAAAAGCAACTCATGAAAATAAGTTTATTTATCTCACAGTTTAAGGGAATGGTTTGTCACAGTGGGGAAGGCCTGTCAATGGGACCATGAGGTGGCTAGTCACATTGCAGCCACAATCAGCACATAGGGACATGAGTGCTGGTGCCCAGCGTATCTCTAGTCCTTTTAATCAGTAGTAGTGGCTGCCAACATTTATAGTAGGGTCCCAGACTAAATAAAAAGGAATAGTTAAAGTATTCCTTAGTAGGCTGGAGAGATGATGGCTCATTGGTTAAGAGCATTGACTGCTCTCCCAGAGGACCCGGGTTCAGTTCCCAGCACCCACATGGCAGCTCACAACTGTCTGTAATTCCAGTTCCAGGGTACCCAACACCCATGGCAAAACACCAATACATATAAAATGTGTATATACAATGTTTATAATGTATATAAAATGTTTATATATGTATGTATGTATGTATATATATATATATATATATATATATAGAGAGAGAGAGAGAGAGAGAGAGAGAGATACCGAGAGACCTTTAGTTGAAACATGCTAGAAATGTCCTCACAGACACATTCAGAGTTCTGTTTCCTAGGTGATTCTAAATCCAGACCAGTTGGCAATGAAAACTGATCATCACAAATCATAATAAAAAAGAAAGGGAGAATAGCCTGGTGTGGTGACAAATGCCTTTAATCCAGCACTTGGGAGTCAAATCTCTGTGAATTTGAGGCTAGCCTGGTCTACCTAGTGAGTTCCAGGGCAGCCAGGGCTATGTAGAAAGACCTTGTCTCAAACAAACAAAAGGAAAGGCAGAATAGAAGAAAGGAATACCAATATTCTTGATAAATGGATACAAAAAAATCCTCAACAGAAGATTAGCAAACAGAATCAGACATCAATTAGATCATTCTAATTAGTATGACATTGGGGTTAATTTCAGAGATGCAAGGACATTTCAACACATGCAACACAACAAACATGGCGCAGCACGTTAACAGAATGAGTATCAACACTGTAAAGTGGTTTCAGCCGGTGCAAAAGGGCATTTGGCAGTTCAAAGACTGCCAAGGATGAGTGAGGTGGTTTAATGGGCAGAGGCCTTTGCCACATAAGCCTGATGACCTGAGTTTGCTCCCCAGAAGACACATAAAAAGATGGAAAGAGAGAACCAACTCTGAGCTCTGAACCATTCGGAAGACAGCAAGAATATGAGAAAAGGAAGAGATACAAATTTTGGGAAAAACAAGAAGGCCCAACTTGACAAAAACTGAATGCGTTTCTGTACACTAACAATGAAAGCATGGAATCTAAAATTAAAAGCATACTACCATTTATAATTGTACCAGAAAAAGTTAAAATTCATTAGTAAATCTAACAGAATAAGTAGATTTGTATTCTGAGAAATTTCAAAATACTGGTGAGATTGAGATATAAATAAATGGAAAAACAATGTTCATGGATTAGAATACTCAATATTGTCACAAGAAAAGGCCAGTTCCAAAATAGACTTATGAAAATTAAGATCCTTTTTCATTCTTAGGAATATTAAAAGCCAGATCACAGAGAAGGGGGAAATATTTGCAAAATACATAACCAACAAACAGTTTATGTTCAGACTATAGAAAGAATCCATACAGATCAGTTAGACAAGCAATGAAAAATATTGGGAAAGATCCAAATGGCCAATAAACACGTGAAAATGTGTTCAATCTCACTGACGAGCACAGACTGAAACCGCAGGCCAGGGTCTGGAGAGATGGTGCAGCTACTGAGAGCGGCAGCTGCCTTGCAGAGGAGCCAGGTCTGGCTCCCAGCATGCACACGGTGGCTCACAACCCTCTGGAACTCCAGTTCCAGGTCATCAGGTCATACCTACTGTGCAAGTTGAATTAGTGCCTTAGTTTTGAGAAAATATTGACAGAATCTAAACCTTAATCCAGTAACCTGGGAAATTTACAATTTGGAAGGTCACACTACTTTCCAAAGAAATTGTGTACATGCACAAAAACATTAGCTAAAGTAAAAACAACCCAAATGTTTATGGATAAGTATGTTTTCATAAAACTGAATATCATGTCACATTGAAAATAAAATATAGTTACTTGGGCCAAGAAGCCACTGATTAAAAGTAGATAATCACAAAACAAGACAAACATGATTCTATTTACACAGAATTCAAAAAACAAAATAACCTATGATATTAGAAGCCAAACTGGTCACTAGCTTTCAAGAGGTAGGGAGCATGAAAAGTGTCTCTGGGATGCTGGAATGTTCTTGCTAAAGACTTCACCTGGCTTATAAGACTTCGCCTGAAGATTGTAAGGGTGTATTTATTTGAGGTGATTTAATGAGCTATATACATTTATGGTTTGTTTACTTATTAGTATTGTATCTTATTTTAATCAGATACTGGAAAAAATAGACTCATGGATCACATCAGAACAGTTGTCTATAAGGAAACCAAAGGAATGAAAAGGAAATAAAGAGTAAATGACTAGGTATGTGGATGGCAGAGCAAATAAGCATCCTGATGAGTGGATGGATAGAGCCCGTGTAGTAACAGCTCTCGTGTTGTGTGGTGGCAAATGTGGACAGTGGTGCAGGTCCTCGTTTTAAATTACACTAAATTAAAAAATCCAGCTCCTCCATTACACTTGCCACGTTTCAAGTGCTCAGTAGCCTCATGAGTGCAACAGCTGAATTGTCTACCACAGGCAGAGGAGAGGAAGTGTCCATCATCACTGGACGTTCTGTTGAACAGCATGGGCAAGCATGGTTGCATTCTGGAGAAGAATAATAGAAAGACCATAAAAGGAATCTAAAAGTCACCAGCATTGAAGATGCGCACGTAGGAAACAGACCCAAGTATCACAAAATCCAGAAAGTGATATAGAAGCCAAGACAGTTTCAAGGAGGAAACACTGATGTTTGATGTTACAGAGAAGGAGCTAGAACCATGTGGCAAGTGACGGATCACTGGAAAACTTGGAGCAGTTTCTGTGCATGGACAAGTCAGATCATTGGGTCCAGAGTATGAAGGAATGCAATTAGAAACTTCCAGCAAAACCAGACCTTAGCTGGACAAAGTAAACCATTTGCCCTGTGTCCTGGCTTGTAGAGCCCAGACAAGTCAGAGGCTCCCCCAGGGTCTGGAATGGGGTTGCCTGCCTCATATATAAGGAGAGGCTCAAAGGTTCAAATTTAAACACCCTTGGGCTCAGAGGAAAGCTATCATGGTCAGGATGAATATGATTTCTTTGACTATAAGGAAGTGTCCCTGCAGGTTATTTCCGGGATTGTTAGTGAGATTCCTGAGAATATAAATAATCTGGGGTAGGGCACAGGGCTGTATCAATGCATGAGTACACACACACACACACACACACACACACACACACACACACACACACACACACACACAC